ATACTCTTTTACCGTTTGTGGTGACTACAATTTGCCTAATGCAGAATGGGTAAATGAAGATGGAGGAGTGAGAGTCACTGGTGGTGTAACTGAGTGTAGCATGTTGGTTTCTAACTCCTTTACTTATTGTAATTTGTACCAATTAAATTATATTCCAAACAGTAATAACAAAATATTAGATTTAGTTTTTAGTAATGCAGTTGATGCTACTGTAAGTGCGGCCCATGATATACTTCTGCCCATAGATTTATATCATCCACCAATCACTATAAATTATAGAATGGTTGAAGACATACGTAATACCGGAACAGAGCTGTTCTACTACGAATTTAAATATGCCGATTTTGGCTCTATCAACTACTGTCTATCTACTGTTAATTGGGATTTAGTCTTTAAATCTGACGATATTAACGACTCTATTCAATCATTCTATAATATACTGCAGGATTTGTTTGAAATCTATGTCCCAACTAAGAAGTATGGTAATAATAAATTCCCTAGGTGGTTTTCTCAAGAATTAAAATCTAAAATTGTTGAAAAAAAGTTGCTCATAAAAATTTCAAGTGATCATAACTATCTATTATTTAGTAACTTAAGAAATGATTGTAAAAGATTATCAAAAAAATATTATTCTGATTATATACAAGTTATTGAGGCTAATATTAAAAATGACTCCAAACACTTTTGGAGTTATGTTAAATCTAAAAAATCTGACTGCAACTTGCCAAAATTCATAAACTTAAATGATGAATTTACTGATAACTATCAAACTATAGCTGACTTATTTGCCACTTATTTCTCGTCTGCATACAGCACTAAAAATTGTAAGCGTTCAAACCCCCCCCCAGCAAAGAATCTGTAAAAGGTTACACCCCAAGTGATAAATGAAATATAACACCTCGGCAAATGTTATATTAAATTACGACAAATAAATAAAATAAATACTTACGGTAATTAAGCTCATTAATTTAGTAACCCAAGGTACTTGTGAGGTGTTGTATTCATGGGGAAAGTATTTTAAAAGGGAAATAAAAATACAGTAAATAAAAGGCAATAAGTTACGTTTAAACTCAGGCTCCCGTTTATTTTTTTATTAAGTATCGCTCATAAAACCTTCCAAAATAAGGGATTATGGGCAGGCCCGTTCCTGGCGAGCGTGCAGTGCGTGCACGCACGCAGGCGCAACATTTCGGGGGCGCAAAATCAAAGAGTCAATCAGTACTTTGTAACGATAAACTTTCTTGCATATGATACTTAAACACACATTGGATAAAGGTTTCTGCCTTTTTTGCGTCGGCCGCTCTTTTTTTCGGTCGCTGTAAAGCCTTTTGCCGTTTTGATATTGGCTGCTTATTTTGTTTTGATATGAGGATCAAAATAAAAGGAGAGAAATGGTCATATTATATTATCTTTAGTATTTGTTTGATAGTTGCAGTTGACGGTAGCAAAGTTTAACAGTAGCAACTCTCTAAAATAGAATTATTCAAAAATGACTAATTCAATTAGTCTAATTGCAATAGCGAAAAAGCAGCGACTAATAATTATTGTCAATAGCAATTTGTATCCCGGATATTTAGCAGTCAACTTCTATGTAAAATTGTCCGCTGAATCCCAAAATGTCGTCAAGTTATAAAAGTAGAACGTTTTTGAGATTTACAAAGGGCAATTTCTGCGTTGCGCATTCAGATGAATACAGACCTTTACACACCTCTTAAAATTTACAGGATAGAAATTCAAAATGGGCTCATTGTGTCAGGACTCCACGAAAAGTGGATAAATCAAATGTCGTTATCGTACAATTACTGTTGCCACTCACTCCAAACGTAATACCAAATATTTAAAAATGACTGGTAAAATTCACTTAAATAATTACGGGACATAAATGTGAATCCGCGAGTACAATTTTATAAATCCCGTATTCAAGAAAATCGATAATTAATACACTTAATTTACACAGCGTTTATAGAAAATCCCCTTTTGAAATATTTATTAAAATTAATTAAATAATCTTAAGTACTGCCCTGACATTTAGCTCAATTAAATCGAATACGGTCCTGCCTATTTTAATTGGATAAAATCCCCGTAAATTCCTGCTCTTTTAATTTGATAAATACATGTAAAAAACCCTGCCTTTAATTAGATAAAATCAAGTACCAATTGTTTATAACTTAGAATCTAAATTATAATACGAAATACCTTGTTTAAACTTTAATTTAATTAGTTGTTTACGGGCGTGGTTTGTGGAAAACAGCCCGCCATCATGGCTAAATAGATCGAACGATGACGCCAAGTCAATTGATCGAATATTTATCTTTACACAAGGTGTTTGTGTAAACTAATTATACCAAAATGCTCGGGAATATTTATACTACAATAATTTAGTTACTTAAATGTACAAACCTACAAATTCCAACACTTTTCTGCACACACAATTTTTAAAACCCTTGTCGCTGCTCGGCTCTGCTCATCGAAAAAGGCTCTGCTCCAATGCTCCCCGTTCGTACCCTGCCCGTTTGACTACTCGCATTCTTTCCACTATCTTTTCCCACCTAAACACGCGATTCTTTCTAACCAATGGCACGGTACTTTTTATACGTCACTTGCATTTCCGTTGCGCTAAATTTAAATGTTAGTTACATTTACATGGCTTTTTTTAATATATTTATTTTAAACAATTAGGATCGTAATAACCCACGGATTGTTTATTAGGGGGGTATTTGCAGATCTCCTCAAAATCTAGTAAATATTCCTGATTTTATATATAGTCAAACAGTTGATTTACATAATGTTTTTATAGGAGAAATGGATGTTTTTACTGAATTAAGTAAGTTAAGTTCTTGTAAAAGTGCGGGCCCTGATGGGGTCCCATCTGCCATTTTAAGCGGTTGCAAATATGCATTAACTAAGCCGATATCTTACTTGTTCAATATGTCTCTTAGGTCTGGCCTATTCCCTGATATATGGAAGAATAGTTTTGTTATACCAGTGCACAAGAGTGGTGACAAAGGTGATATATCTAATTACAGAGCTATATCTAAGATTTCACTAATTCCGAAGTTATTTGAATCAATTGTGAGTCACAATTTGTGACCAATAAAATCTCACCTTTATTCAAAAATATTATAATTGATGATCAACATGGCTTCTGTAAGGGTAAGTCGACATCAACTAATCTTGTTATTTATGAGAAATTTTTGTTGGACGTACTGGAGAGGCGCGGTCAGGTAGATGCCATTTATACTGACTTTTCCAGGACGTTTGACAGAGTTAATCATACATTGTTGACAACAATTTGTTGTCCAAGCTAGATGCACTGGGTATACGCGGTACTTTCTTGAATTGGATTTCTAATTATTTATCCGATCGTTATCAAACTGTTCTAATTGATAATTGTTACCAGTCTAGACCTATTCTTGTTTCCTCTGGACTTCCTCAAGGTGGGCATTTGTCACCTCTATTATTCAACTGTTTTATTAATAAAATTAATTTAAATTTAAAGTTTTGCAAATGCCTTCTATTTGCGGATGATTTAAAAATGTTTTTTGAAATTAAATCACTTAATGATTGTTGTAAGTTGCAGTCTGACTTGAACACTCTAAATTCATGGTTCGAGTTGAATTGTATGGAACTTAATATTAAAAAATGCAAGGTTATTAATTTTTATAGGAACAAAAATCCATTGTTTTTTTGCTATTCTATTGATAATAATGTTTTAGAGGTTGTGAACTCAATTAAAGATCTTGGAGTGCTGTTTGATAATAGGCTTACGTTTAGTGATCATGTTAACTTAATTATTAATGAGTCTTATCGTATGTTAGGCTTTGTCAGACGACAGCTTCAGGACTTTTACGATATTAATTGCTTTAAAAATATTTTTATTTCATATATTCGTTCAATTTTAGAGTTTAACTGTGTAGTGTGGTGACCGCACTATAATGCTTATGTAACTGCCTTAGAACGTGTCCAAGATAGGTTTCTTCGCCTATGTGCATTTAAACTCAACATAAGTGTTGAAAATATTAATTATAGAGAACTGAGACTGTTGGTAGGTCTGCAACCACTATCGATTAGGAGACAGGAGTTTGATATTCTATTCATTTATAAAATACTCAATAACCTTATAAACAGCTCAGAATTGCTGTATAGCATTCGTTTGTCTGTGCCACAAACTAGACATACCCCATTATTCTTCATTAATATGCATAGAAATAATTATGGTTATTATTCTCCGATCGATAGGGGGTGCAGATTGGCGAACAAATTTGAACTAAATTTTTTTCTTTGAACTTATTCAATTCAAGAAACAACTTAGGCTAAAAATTAGTGTTTAGTACCTATAGTATTAGGTACTGCTGAATATGTGACTTAAACCTATAACAATTGTTATTCTTATTATTGTATTTTATGGTTTTCTTTTACCGTTAATAAAGTTTATTATTATTATTATTATTAAAATATAATATTAAATAAATAATTTAAAATTTTGAATAGTTTTTCAAAATGTGAATATTAAACAATAAATCCTAAAAAATTCATTAAAATATCTGTAACGGTTTTTCTGTTATCTATTTTTTAATTAAAAGTCTCCAAAAATTTCATTGTAAAAAAAATTGCCGTTAAAATGAAAATTTTAAAAAACTGTTTTTATGGTTTCATTATTGATGGTGACTACTTTATATTAAAATATATTTATTTGAATTCCACGATCAAGTTGGAAATGGAGGGTCCACTTGAGGTGATCTTACTCTCTGTAAGAAACACAACATTTAAAATCAATATTAATCTATACAAATAGTACAAACACAAAGCACAAGAATTTTAAACAACAAAAAAGCTGTTAGTGCAGTGGGTTGCCTAACTCATGATTTTTAATATGCGCGAAACGAGATAAAACCGACCTTGTTGTGTTGATTATAATTATGAACGGTTATGGAACATACTATGGTGTGGACCATAGAACGTCTGCTCAGTAATAACATTATTTTATTTATTTTTTAAAGGTATTGTATAGCTGTCTATAAACAAGATGTATCTCCAATATTTCCTTACATTAGCGACACCGCAGCAAAACCCTGGGAAAGTTGTTATTTTGCTCAAATGCATAACATAGGTGCCTTATTCAGTAAGTCAATCAACACATTTAAATATATATTTTCATTTTTTTTTCAGCTTTAATATGTATGATTATAAGACACAAATTAGTAGAATTATACTTTAATGAAGGCCAAATCTCACTTCGTCTCAGAAAAGTGAATAAATTCTCGTTAATTTTTGGTTTTCTCGGATGTTTGGGCATGAGCTTGGTGGCCAATTTTCAAGAAACTAGTGAAATTTTTACACACTTACTTGGAGCTTTTCTTGCATTCTTTTGTACATCGATATATTTTCAAATTCAGGTAATATAATAAATTAATTGATATAAAAACAACCTAATTATTTAGCATTAAAATATGCTAAATACGACTCCAACAAAAAGTGAAATTTCCAGTATAATTTACATGTGTAAGGGATGCTTTATAAACTGTGGTTTAAAAATAAAATACTTTTTATGTTTAGAGGAAAGTCTCCTAATATGGGGTACTTTTTAAAAAAATACGATATTAAAAAAACGTAGAGAAGTTTTAACACTTTATGTAAATTTTACGTTTCCCTGGACACTTTTTAAGAATTTCATGAGAAAAAACAGGTTTAAAAAAAAGTGCAGAAGAAAATATTCAGCATTTAAAAAAAGTTTCACTACCCCATATTAGGGGCATATGTCATCCTAATATGGGGTACACTACGTTCATAATATGGGGTACCCCATATAGGAATTTATTATGTAAAATTTAAAAAAATATTTTGTTTTTTTTTAATAAAAATTATTTATTTATGGAAATAAAACATAAAAACTGCATCCAACATTTTTTTTTCTTATGAACCAAAAACTTTACTCATCTAAGAAAAATACAAAATAAATCTATTTACTAGGGCAAAAGTCACAAATATACTGGTTTCTTTCATATCCAGCACATTCAACGTGTGCACATTTGAAGCAGCCTTGACACATCACCCATTTTTCGCCTCTGATATCTTCGGTATAACACAAAAAAGAAAATAATTTCCTAATATGGGGTACCCCAAATTAGGAATTGATTGGTATCCCATATTAGGAGAAAATTAGATTTTTTGAAGGGGCGACTATTTGCAAAAAATTTGGTGTTCTTTAAAAAAAACAAAATCATTTTCATAAACTACGCAAAATTTTATATAGAATGATATTATTAAAACTTTATAAACTCACCTTTAGGTCTCCTTAAACAATCAAAATGCAAAACGACCAAAAAACTTTCCTTACCACACAAAATTATTATAACATCAAACGACAAAACAGAACATATGTTTGCTCCAAAAAGTTAATGGGCGCTTCCTGGCAAGTAAGTGGTTAGTATACAATATACACAATAGATGTCGGAACTAGTACTTGCTCAAAAGTGAGTTACCCCATATTAGGAGCTACCCCCATATTAGGCGACTTTCCTCTAATCATTATCTTGATAACCTTAAAATTTTAAAACAAACTAAAAACTTTACAGGTAAAAAATTGTTAAATTTAAGTGTTTTAAAGTAAAATTTTGAATGGCTCAAAGTCAAGGAATAACAAATTAGCGATGGTTAAGAGGATTCTTTCTAAAAAGATTTGCATTAATTAAACACTGTATAATATTTATGTAAGAATAGTATATTCGGTAACAAGTTTGGAATACGGCATATTCCGCTTAAGCTAAAAGTTTGTCACACGAGCCGAATACCATAGAAAAATTATTTAATTGGGAGAAAGTGAGGTTAGATCGGTCTTAAAGTTGTTAGATAATAATCACAGAGATGTCGCCACCAGTGTTTATTCCGTCATCCAATGATAAAATAATTCATGCTGTAACATATGTAATTCCACATTAAAAAGTGATCAGAACAGTCATATTACATAATAGGAGTATAAAAATACATTATTAGTATTTAGGGCAAAGGCTCCCAAATTGAGCAGTACCTATTTTTCTAGAATGAAATTAGGTAGCGCCTTCTATAAGAGTGCCAAAGAAAAATTTAATACTTACAGCCTGAAAGTCAATCACAATCCAGTGGATTGAATCCACACAACAAGATCTCTTTTCGCGCATACTAAAAATCAGGCAAAAGTTAGGCAATCCACTGCATTGGGTTTGTGCTAGCACAGCTGTTTAAAAAGATTAATAATCGTTTTAAACTTTGTGAGCTGTAATCAAACTGTCAAAGGTCAATTTTAAGGTTAATTTGTGGGTTTGTTAAATTTGTGGGTTATGGTAAATTAACCTTCGGTCATCTATGGCCTGCAGGCTCATGATAGAATAAGGTATATTTTTTACAGGAGAAGTAAAATGTCCTTGGCACTTTAAGGCCTTATTTGAGAATTACAAGTGCATCTGTAAGAAACACAACGTTTAAACAATTTTTAATCTGCATAAAAATATACGCTGTGGGAGTCTGTGCATCTTCATGATTTTTAGTATGCGCGAACAAAGATAAAGGGGTATTATCTTTGTGCGCGAAACGAGATAGAACGGTCTTTGTGTGTGGAGTGTGACCTCACTAATCTTTGATTGAAAATTTCAATTTAACAGTTTGATCTGTTACACAGTGCAACAGTGCAAAAGGGAATGGGATGAAACCAAAAGCAAATGAAAGGTAATAGCTTCTACAAAAAAACCCTATGAGGTTTTTTTTAGATCACGTCTCAGTTTTTTATTATACGCATTTAAAGTTGGTAGATTTTTGGACACCCTATAATAGGAAAAAATAACTAAAACAATTTTAATTTTTTTTAAATTATTCTGGCAATATTGTCGAGAAATACATTCCAAGTAAAGAGCATTTTTACTAGAAAATTGGGCATTTTTATAAAAAAAAATATTCTCTTTAATGCTTTAATCAAAACACAATACTTGTATACAAAAACTACATTTTTTTGTGGTAATATATTGTAATATATCGATGGTATTTTTGCAAAAGGGCGAATATGCCATTTTCCTGTTTTGATAAAAACAAAAAAAAAGTATTTCGGCGTATTCGCCCTTTTGAAAAAATATTATTACTACAAAAAATTGCAATTTTTGTAGCAAAAGGTAAAATTTATTTGTTTACTTAAAAACACATAATATTATGTACTATATAGTAAATCAGTGACAGCAACATAAAACGTTTTTCTTAATTAATATATTTAATTAAATTATTTTTTTTATTTAAAGGACAATATAATATAAAACAAAACTTAGTTCCAAAATATAAAAATGTAAAAAATTGTACCTACAATATTACTGTATACATATAATTGAATACGTTGAAAAGTTTGCAGAACTTGTAATAACAATTTAATTAAATGATCACAAAGGAAAAAGAAGTCAATGAAATTTGGTGTTCCAATGTTGTGGTATAATTCAGGTATTTTGTTTATTTTTATACAAAAACATGGTATTTTTGATTATATTAATTATATTTTGCATTTTTATCAATTTTTGGATGAACAGCTGGAACTTCTGGTACTTAAACTCGTGTTACTGCTGGTTACAGCAGTGATAGTTTTTAAATAAAAATAAAATAGCGAATTTAATAATGTTTCGTTAAGAAGTAAAAATGCTATTTTTTCTTAAAAAAACAAGTTTTCTATAGAATTTTCTACTAATAAATCCAAAATATTAAAAAAAATTTTCGAATATCACCTAGGCTATATTTTACAACAAACGGATGACAAAAATGGATTTCTTACCTTCAAAAATAGTAAAAATTAGTAACAATTTTTTGATAGCGTCCTCTTCTGAGGGTCTTTGGTAAAAATTAACATCACAAATAGATTCCTCGATCAAATTGACAAAATTATTTTGAATAATTAACATAGTTTTACTTATGTTTTTCCTTTAGGGTGTCAAAAAATTTACCATCTTTAAATGCGTACAAAAAAAACTGAGACGTGATATAAAAAAAACCCTGATAGGGTTTTCTTGTGGAAAGTATTAACTTTCATTTGCTTTTGGTTTTATTCCATTCCCTTTCGCAAACCTTAATTTTGTATCATAGTGTTATCAATGGTTTCTAGATTTAAAAAACGGGTAATTTTAACAATAAATCATAAAAATAGGAGTTCATTAGTAAACCTATAATTTTTTTACTAATAATTATAAAAGGACTCAATAAATTGTTTTTGAAATTTTTCATAGAAAATTAAAAGTACCTACCGTAAAACAGGGCTACTTGAAAATACCGGGGTTAGTTGAAAATAAACGCAGAGTTTTTCATAATCAGGTGCTACCTCCATTAGGGTTATTCTAGAAGTATAATTTATTTTCAGTCAGTATAGTAGACCAGCAGGAATTTATTTATATGGCATATATGCCATATATATATATATATATATATATATATATATATATGTGTTATTTGTGAATTTAGTTTTGCGAGGAGAATTCGGCAAAAACAAGGTAAAAAAATATGTTTTTTATTGTCTCAATACTTCTTATTGTTCAAGTCGGGGTATTTTTTTTCTAATGCTATTTTATATGCTTGACACAAACTTAACGTTAAATCCGACCTATCAATCATCCCTAAGCCAGTACCGCCAATTTTATTTTTTTATATCATTTTTGGGGCTACGTGAAAATGGTGCGAAATTATCAAAGGAAGTTGGGAAGCAGGCCATATCGAAATTATAGTCAAGAGGCTTTGGATAATGCTGTGCCAAAGTAGGAAATTTAATGCAGTTAAGTGAAGAGCAGGGCCGGCCCGAGGTACGGGCGAACCGGGCAACCGCCCAGAGCGGCATAATGGGGGGGGGCGGCATTTTTACGATTTTTTAATGATAATCAATTTTATTCAACATACTAAACATTTTTCGATTGGCGATTTTTTCAAGAATTACGCTCGAGAAATGCAGTTTAGATAATTTAATATCTTTGTTACAAAGATTTAATAGAGGCGCTCTCGGCGCCCTCTTTCATTCGTTTCTTCAATAACATCCTGTAGTTTTCTATAATTTTGTTTGACAATTAACAATTAATAATTGACAAATATTATATCACGTGCATTTGGACTGATTTTAAAATCAGTGCATTGCTAAGGTAATTTGATAATTAGAAGTATAAAATGTCTGGAAAACGCAAAAAAGATTCAGGAACTTTTTATAAAAATAAAAGAAGGGCGCGTGCGGCGAAAAATCGAGTACTAGCAGCAACCTTTTCCAAATTCTTGCAAAAAGAACCATCGCGATGCATCGTAGACAGGTATAATAATTATACTATAATTAAACAATATTGCATATATGAAAATGAAGTTTAATTTTTGTTGTGTACATCTAAACATTGTTTTTAGAGGTCTAAAATCAATCTTCTGACCTGCATCACAGCAGGATTCGGTTTTGCCAAAGCCCGCTAAACTCATTAGGTAATTAATTATTAAGTTAATTTACTTTTTTTTTAAAGATGGTTCACCTGAAGTAAGTAAGTTACTTAAAATATTTGGGTGCACAAAAATACGATATTTTAACAGCAATTACCTATGTATGTAATAATCTATAGCTATAGCTCGCGGAATATTGCGAAAGTAAATTTTAACAAACCAAAGAATTTTTGTAATATAAAAAATTGTTTAATTATACTCACTATAATAGTGACACTATTTAATAATATATTTATTTTATATCCTATATACCTATGGGATATAATCATTGACAAGTGATGCAATTATGCATAATATACATGTATATATACATATTTAACAGTATATTGCCTTACCTAGTAATTCTAAAGCATAAAAAACTCTTATAACCAGTTTGAAAAATTATTTACGTTAAACTACTTTTTTTCCTTTCCTGCTGAATAAAAAAGGGGCGGCAAAAATATCTTCGCCCGGGGCGGCAAAAAAAGTCGGGCCGGCCCTGGTGAAGAGTACAATATACCGTATGTTACGTTGTATAGAAAAATAAAAAACCTACTCACACAGAAGCCTGGACATAGTACTGCGTTTTTTAAAATTTATTTTCATGAAAATTAACGGCTTTTAAAGGCACATTTTCATGTAGCCATATCGGGGGGCTACTTGAAAATAACTACTTTATATTTTTTTTCGAAAAGTGGTGAAAGCAAAATTTTTTTTTAATGTGTGAACAGCTTCCCCAAACCCTAAAGTTAAACAAAGTAATTTTGGTTTTTAAAAAAACTGTAAGGTTTTACCCAGACGGTGTCAAATTTCCGAAAAGTTTTATCAAGCCCCGTTTTACGGTACCCAATAAGAAATTACATTTAAACTTTTTGATCAATCATCAATAGTTTAGTTTATAGATTCTAAGTGAAATATTATTACCCATAATATAACAAGTGGTATGGTTATTATTGATCAATGATATTTTCGAATTGGGTCTGTTCACTCTAATGGGAAAAATTAGAAATATTATTTAATACATAGAGCACAATTTACTAGATGTCCTCACCTGCTTTAAAATTTTGCCGCAAACTTGACGCCATTTTATAATCTTCATTTTGCTTTGAGCTATATTTACTTGTGTTTTTTATATTGTGTTATTTTGTCTCCTTACTGAACTTGTTTAATCTTATGATTAATAATTATTATTATTATTATTAAACTGTTTTGTAACTATTGCTGAAACTATTAATAATTGAATCTTGGACTGAATTTACCTATGTAAAATTAAATAATTTAAGAATTTGTTAGTAATATTGGGTATAATATTTAAATCAGTTAGCAGTAGCATACCTATAGGTACAAACACAAGCATATATGCTTGTGTATTTATTGAGCATTCCCAAAAAACAAAAAGCATTTACAATGTTTAAAATTTACCCATTTCTGTTTATTTTATAATAAATATTGTTGATTATGTAAAGATTTTTAATTATAATCATGGTGAAAATATATTGTGCTGTGGTAGGATGTGATGATAAGAATTCTCATCGACATCGTTTTCCGAATCCAAATAAATCAGGGGATTTGTTTTAAAAAAGGAGTGAACTCTCCGAAAGACTATTACTTATTGCATTCATTAAAGCCTGACAGTGTTGCCTCTTCGAATATTTACCCTTTAAAAATTTTTTAATTTTAAACTAAATTATCACCATTAATAAGATGTCCAAATTTCAAATCGATACGTTTTGAAATAAAAAAGTTATTAAAAAAAATAAAATTTCTTCATTTTTAACACAGTGAAAAATAAAATAAAAATAAAAACAAAGTTGTCAATGGACAAGATTTTTTTTTTAAGTACTGCATTTAGATGTAGAAATAAGGTAAAAAAGTTTCAATCGATTTCTTGTACCCTTGCAAATCGACCGTTCGATCCTTTCGCGAAACCGTAGTAAAATGCTTGAAAAAAACCGGCGACAAAATCTTAATAATTTCCTCGCACAAAATTTACTGCTTCGGCTGGCGCCTCGGTAGTGAGATGTATGCTCGGCTGTAATATGAGCTTTATCTGCCCGGTCTATAATGTACTATTTCTATATATTTTGTATTAGATTAAAATCACCAGATTTTAGCTATTTTTAAAAATGTCTAACTAAAAAACTAATGAAGTCTCAGTGATAAAATTTAAAAAAAATAAATTCTGAAATTTTTAAGGCGTCTCTTCCGAGATATATTATTTCAGAATGACGATACTCAAAATTTAGACAAATGGAAATATTTAAAGACCCATAAAAAAGGATATAACTCCAAGGGTAATAATTATAAGTTATAACTATAAAATTTATAACAATAAAATTAACTTAAATCTTAAAAATGATCACAAGAATTTGTACTTACTTTTACTTCTTTAATTAAACATTTATTTTTATAACACAATAAACAATATGATTACTTTAAAAAACATATTTAAATTACAAAACAAAAACACTTTAGAATAGGTACATAAATATTAAACAGGGTATTTGATAAATACAAATCTTTAAGGAGAAACTCTTTTAATAGACCCATCCTTTATCAGAATTAAAAAGAAAACTTTGTGGTTCTTTGACCTGAGCCACTAAGATGTGGTTATAAACTGTATAATAATTGCATGATTATTTTTAGACATACATCTCTTGGAAAACCGACATAAGCTTAGAAGTTAAGTTCGTTAGACTAATTTTAAGCGCATTACTATTTCCTTTCTACACGTCTACAACTATAGGAGCAATGGTAGCAGTATTAAAATTTAAAGGAACAAATGTTTTAAAATGGGGAATAGAAGATGGTGGCTACTATTCACATTTAGTGTCGACTTTTTCTGAATGGATTTTGGTAGGACTAATGATGATTTATACATTTTCTTGCAGTGATGAATTCAAAAGAATTAAGTTTGAAGGATTAAACTTTAGTTTAAAGAAAAAGAAAAGTGATGAAATTATTAATTAATATTGTATAAATATTAAATATATTATTTTGTCCATTTTTCTTGGACTATGAATTCAGGTTCTATAATGACAATACTTTTAAACTCCCCTGTACATGTGGCCGCAAATAAAATTGTAAATATTGCCATTATCCATTCTGCAACAGCACTAATTATATGGTACATAAACCCATATTCGTTTTTAGCCCATTTTGTTCTGTCCTCGCCTACAATAAAATAAATTAAAAAAAAAATTAACATTGTATTTTTTTGTTTTACCTTCATATTGTAGTAAAGATAATATACCATATATAGATGTTATTAGAGAAGTTATTACACAAACAGCTGTGCAGAATGCACGAAATATGTTAATGTATTTATTACCAATTACTGGGTAGATTTCAAAACTTATTTTAACCTATAACATGCCAATAAAATTAAATTTATAAAATCAATATTGAAGATAAATTATTTGAATATGTACCTAACGAAGGTTTAATTTTTTTTTGGTGTGACCCCTCGGATTTTTTTAAAAAACTTGTGGAGTTATTCTTTACATCAAAATAATGACTCAATAACCCAGTAAGCACAAGCTAGCATACGGCCCGAATACGCTTTGCCGAATCGGCCGCGTGCGGCCCGACACACGTATTTCTTCCGGCGTAGAACGGGCATGTCCGCCTGGCCAACTGTCGGGCATATCCGCCTGGCCGAATGTCGGCTATGTTTACTCGGCCGAGTGTCGGCTTTGTATAGTTGGCCGAGTGCCGGCCACAACCGGCTGGCCATTTTTTAACACACTCGACTAGCTAGACATTACTTATTACTGAGCAGATGAGGATGGAGATGGGGACTCCAAACAATTAATGTTCAGCTATGCCATTACAGACGCACACTTCCAACTAAATATTGCAGCCAATCGCTATTTATAGTTAGCTCGCGTGCGTAAGCAGCCGTGAGATGTATTGCTTATATCGTATTCCAGCCGTAAGCTGGCCGGCTAGGGCAAACCGAAGGATTTTGCAGCGGCATTCCGTATTCTGGCCGACTTCGGTTAGAACATGGCTAAACGGTACCGGGGTAACATAACGGTGGCCGTAAGCGGGCCGGCTGGGGCAAGCCGAACCGCCGATCAACCGCCTATGCCGAACGAAGGCCGACTGTTTGCCGAGTGTTTGGTGCTTACTGGGAAAGTTTTGAGCTTTTGGTAATAATTTAAAAAAAACGTTATTTTTTTATGTCAAAGTTTTATAGTACACTGAGAAAATGAAAAATTTATTATTAAGAAATCAAAACAGTTGCTATTTTTTAAAAATATATGTTAACTATTAAAAAATTTCTTAATCGTGAACAAATTATATACTAATTATTATAACATCGTCCGGTGATTGTGTTTCAGACAAATAAATGATAAAGTTGTCTTAGAACTGTGATATATTAACAGTTAATATACCTAAATTCGAATAAAACGTTTGTCAACATAATTTTAAATGCAATATGCGCTAGCATGTGACGTTGCCGTAGTTTTTTACAAGAACTTCGAGAAAGGCGGGATTAATTTGATAAAAACGGAACATTTATAGAAAGCACGATAGTTTTATAGTATTTTTAATTTTCATGTAATTAGGTAAATCAAAATATTATTTTGACAAACACAAAACCACTAATTAAAATAATTCAAAATATTTCTCTCAACTGTTCAAGAATACTTTGATTACTTTACAAAATATTCGCTGGTATCATTTTAAAACTATAGCCAACACACATTTTATTTAATATGAAAAAAAGCCATTTGAGAAAAATACAAAAATAATGATTGCAAATATTCTCAAAACATTGAGCGGAATTTCGATATATTAAAAGTTAATATATCTACATATGCTAATACGTTATGAGCTTCTTTAATTCAACTTAACCAACTTAGACCCAAATTAATATTTATTTCGCCATAACCAACTCAACGATATGTTAATAGTTAACGTGCCTCGTTATTAACAAATATTTCTTTCTCTCAGTGTACCTACTGTTCTTTTAAAAAAGTTCTTATCTTTTTAATGGAAATATTTATTCAATATTATTAGTGACGGAAGACCCTCAAAAATTAAATTAAATTGAAAAATTCATTTCACCAAATAAATTTTTTTTGGGGTGTGGCCTCCTCGGATTTTTTTAAAAATTTTGTGGAGTTATTCTTTACATCATAATAATGACTAATTAAAGTTTTGGGCTCTTTGTAATAATTAAAAAAAAAGTACTGTTCTTTTGTAAAAGTTGTTATCTTTGTAATTGAAATATTAATCATTATTATTAGTGACGGAAGACCCTGAAAAATAAAATTCGATTTTTCTAGCCTCTATTTTAAATTTAATATTTTTTTAGAAAGCTAAGTAGTAGTACTTATATTTTACAGAAAATATGTTATTTTTGTTTTAATACCGTTAAATAGGAAAGAAATAATAAATCAAATAAATTTATATTATATATATTTTTAAATAATTGAGGTTATGCATCTGTCAAATTAACTTTAGTTTTGTCTTATTTTCTAAGAATAATATCGCGGGTTACTGGAATAATAAGATAACTCCATTTTTTAATTTTTTGTTACGTAGCTACGCGTAGGTACCTATTTGGCCGGACACGACTGTAAAAATTCAAACATGTCTTGCAAAAGTCGGACGCCTGGGCTACCCTATAGGGTAGCCACGAGAGCCCTCCAACAAAACATGCACTACATTACCCCCTCTCCTCTACAGACCACAGTTTAATTTAAAATGATTTTTAATGAAAAAAGGTAAACATTTGTATTTTTTATTTAATATTTAGGTTTTCTATCTGTATAGTTATGTATGTTTACCTGTAAATATTGGTAGACGCATCCCAACCCAAAACAAAGAGAGGCTCCAACAAGATGTATTGAAAACAAGTTGGTTTCTTGGAAATTAGCCACGACACAAACTCCAAAAGCCGATAGAAATCCTAGATAATATCCTTTTTCATTATAGGATTTCACAATTGGTTTAAAAGTGTTGATCTCGTCCAAATAACGAATTTGTCTGTATCTTATATAAAATGATATAGCCACTAAAATATTAAAAATTAATAATTTAAAATAGTAAAACTAAAAAGTAGTTTATAGTATATTATGTATCAAGTTTGATAAACGCTATTTTATACACGAATTTAATTTAGGCACGAGCGAGCTTGCGATCCAGTGCTTAAGTTAATGAGTGTATAGAAAAGTTTATAAACGAGGTGCATACTATACTTTTTCTACGACAAATATTTATTGTTATCTTAAAATGATTTGAATCAAAAATTTGTATAGATCGCCATCTATGAAACAACAGGGGAAACTGTCAAATGTCAAATTTTTACATTTTAAGTTATAGTTTATTGCCGGCGAAATTAAAAGGTCAGTATAATGTTCATATAAACTTTTCAAATATTGGCGTTGAGAAACTATTTAATATTTTTGTATTGAGATAATAAAATAATTTTCACATTTAGTATTATTTTTCAAAAAAGGCACTTTATTTTAACGATTGTATGACATTTGAAAACTGTCAACTAACTTAAAACTAACTTCAGCCCGTGACTAAAAACCTGTTGCTAAATTCAGCCCGTGACTAAAGCGCCGTAAAGCCACAACTTGTCAATGTGTATTTAAAAGGTCACTTAGTGTCATAGAAACATGTACGATAAAGGGCGTTTTAAAGGTGGGAGTAGTAGGTGGGAGTTACATATAAATTATTTAAACATTTTTAATTCTTGTAAAACAATGTTTATAAACACATTATTTTCAAAATTTATACACATGGGCGTCGCCAAGGGGGGGCAGGGGGTGCAGCTGTATTCTTTAAGAGACTCGAAAAAATGCCATAAACTGTCATTTCACTTATTGTCATTTATAATTCCTAGAAGTTACTTATTTGGGAGTAATTAACGTTTTTCTAATATAAATAACAGAAGAACAAGAAAATAATTTGACATTTTTTGACGGATCGATTTAAATCAACTTTTTAACCATTTTGGGGTAAAAAATATTTAATTTCATTTATTTAAACAAATATAAACCGATTAAGTATATTTTAATACAAAAAAGAAATTGGCCAGCCAATTTATTTTTTTAATTCCATCTCGAATTTGATGATGATTGTCTTTATTGCTTTGTTTTACCCAAATACCATTTGAAAAGTTTTTAACGGATCCGACCTCTTTTTAAAAATTAAAAATCGCATACGAATTAACGGCTAAAGATAACAATCACAAGGGTATACCCTTGTGACTATAGTCATGCACAGCGCGTTGAGTTTTCCTTATTGATAACACTGATGAGAAAAAATTCAGAACACAACGTCCACATAACGTTGAACGTTGGTCTCGCTGATTTTACCTGGTTTACCCCTCGCATTTTCAAGAAATAAAATTTAATAAACGTTCTGAAGCAACCTTTTTCCAAATTTGAATTTTCTGTAAACAGACAAAATTGGACGAAAAAATTTAAAAAAAAATGGTCAAGAAGTTGTCAGACACTTAACTGAATTTTCACATTAACCTGAAGTTTAAAATGAACATTTTGGATTATTTTATCTTATAGCCTTTAGTATACTAAATAATATACTATATTATATATATACACATATGTCCAAAAGTTTGGAATATTGCAATATTTCTTTTTTTATTGATAGTTCTATATATTTTTTTTATATAGGTAAATACCATTTTATAACGACTCCGACCAATAATAAATAAACCTCAAAGACAGAGAAAATAGAGTAAATATTAACAACAGTTTTTTTAAACTACCATAGGCGTAGATATATTATTTGTAAGTATTCCAAACTTCTGGACATGTGTATATATATATATATATATTACAATATTTCAATTAAAAATGTGAAATCTATTTTAAGTTTTTTTTGGTAAAAAAATTAACTTTTTACTAATTCTCTGCCACTTGATTATTTTCTATAGATTCTATACGCCAGTTCTTGGCCGAAAAAAAACATTTTTTGACCATGCTAAAAAATTTAAACCAAATTAGAAAATAATTAAAAATTATAGGAAAATTACAATTTTATTGCATGGATGTGGTAAAAAAATATTCAGGTGAACACAACATTTTTAAAAGTATACAAACTAAACTATAGTTTATAAACATATAATAAAAAAAATTGAGGATAATCTTTGAGTT